ATGTTTGTATGTATGTTTGATTGGGAGTTGGGGGTGGCAGGTAGACAGAGGCAGGAAGATTGATGGAGCTTGCTAGCCAGCTGGCCTAGCTAATCAACTGTGAGCTCCAGGGGCAGTGAGAAACCCTGTCTCAAGGGAATAGAGCAGAAAGTGGTGGAGACCCCTGACATCCTCCTTTAATGTTGACATGTATGTGCCTGGGCACCACACGTGCATACACATACCACACACACACACACACACACACACACCCCTGATGTGGGATCCCCCTCTGTATGCTGTGAATATGTTCTATTATCATTGGTTAATAAAGAAGCTGATTGGCCAATGGCCAGGCAAAATAGGGCTGGACAGGAATCCAAACGGAGATACAGAGAGAAAGAAGGCAGAGTGGGAGAGATGCCATGGAGCTGCCGGAGAAGTAAGATGTGACATAACAAGCCACGAGCCTTGTAGTAAAATATAGAATAATAAAAATGGGTTAATTTAATTATAAGAGCCAGTCAGTAATATGCCTGAGCCATTGGCCAAACAATTATAATTACTATTAAGCCTCTGAGTGTTTATTTGGGAACCGGCAGGCAGGAGAGAAACCTCCATTTATACACCACATGCATGAACAAAACACACACACACACACACACACACACACACACACACACACACACACACACAGCTTCGAAGCCAGCCTAGATGATATAGTGAGACCCTATCTCAAATAAAAACCGATTGTCTTTTGTTGACCTGTTTCCTGACATTACATAGAACACAAGCCAGAAACCAGGTGTGCAGTGCATGGGAAGCTGACTCACTGTGTTGAGGGCAAACGTGGGGTTCTGGCGATGACCCACACTGACAGTAACTCTGTAGGCGTATTCAAAGGCTGCAGGACAGAAAGTGTGATTAACTAGAAGCCAGTGTCAGTAGGCTCACTAGAGTTTCAAGCATGCACATGTGATTGATACCATGAGTGTACCTTTCTCACTGATCAGTGTGAGTCCATGCTTGGCTCCTACTGAATGCCAGCATTTGATGAATGAGGAGTACGTGCACACGGAGATTCTGTGTCAAATTCAGGTATGTGAGCCTCGCCTAGAGATGGAAAAGCACTATGACATACTAGAGCCTCTCCCAGGGTAGCACTCAGTAGCTCCGAGTTGTAAATGTAACAAGTTCTAAGAAACCCGGAGGTCTGAGGGCTGACCTGCATGCATTTGCTGCCTAGAGAGCCAACACATTCAAAGGCACAGTGCTTTAGATATGGCCCCTGACTTGATCTCATCCCATTCGACTGGAAACTCCATAGGGCAAACAGCACTTCTAGAATGTTAATCACTCCATACTTGCTTTTGGCATAATGCTAAAATAAAGAATTTTTCTAGATGACATTGGCTTGACCTGAGCCCATACCAAATGACATGGCTCTTCCCCAACACATGGCAATCTGTAAATACCTTCTGGTACTCTACCTTAACTCCATAGGATAATTTCAAGTAAAACTCCCAATTCTCAGAGACCAACACTGGTTATTTAACCTGTGTATTTCCTATAATGAAGTCTAAGTTATTTGGGCCTTTTCCCGGTTTAAAAAAAAAAAAAAGCTAAAAAGTTATAAGAAATAAAAAAAAGTTATAAGAAATATATATCAAAACATCTTAAAACTATTAAAAATGCTCAGATAATAATTCAGGCAGGAGAGGCACTTAGCAGTTAGAATACATTATGCTCTTGGAGAAGCCCTGAGTTTGGTTCCCAGCTCCCATTTCAGGGGGTTCATAAGTGCCTGAGTCTCCAACTTCAGGGGGAGTCTCAGACACATACACAGAGTTAAAAATGAGAACAAAATCTAAAACAAAACAAAAAGCAAGCAAAGGAAAACTAGGATCATAAAAACATTCTGTGACAGTTTTGCCAATCTCCCCCAACCTTAAGCCTGAACTTTGTCAATGACCTCCTGAAGAAAAGACGTCAGAAACGCACACACAATAAATAAATGAATAAAATAAAAAGCCCAAGAAAAATCAGGTGAGACATCTAGCAATGAGTGAACAGACTAGAACTCTCCTAAGAGAATAAAGTCGAACAGTGTAGAGATGTGGGCTTGAAGGAGCCCAAACAAGAGTGGGGAAACTCCTCCACCTGCAACTCCGGATGAGTGGTCAGGACCATGAGGAGTAGGCAGGACCCAATCTACTAGTTTTGCTTAGAGTGGCTGCTGTTAGTGTGAGTTCATGAGAATGTATGCTCATGGCCCCGTATGCTCATTATAGCAATTCACACTTACAAATAAAACACATACCTATGTGTTTTACGCTCTATGAGTATGCCAACTTTGTAACTGGAAGCTCGCAACTACCTGTAACTCCAGCATCGGGGTATCCGAAGTCTCCTCTGACCTCCAAGAGCATCTATAACCATCCTCTTTCTCTCTCTCTCTCTCTCTCTCTCTCTCTCTCTCTCTCTCTCTCTCTCTCTCATACACACGTACACATAAAAAGAAATAAAAACACATCTTCAAAAAATAGTTCCACTAAAGTCTAAGCATCTTTGAACCATACGTCAACTATCGAACAATGATGTCCCCATATGAAAAGTTTTGTTTTTGTTTTTGTTTTTCAGGACAGGGTTTCTCTGTGTAACAGCCGTATTCGGGAACAATTCTCCTGCCTCAGCCTCATGAGTGCTCAGATTACAGGCACACATCACCAAGCCAGCTCCACTTTGTATATTATTTTTCCTGTGAGTCTGCTGAATAAGAACTCTCCAGAGAGAACTGGGAATGTGGCTCAAAGAGCCCTCTGCACAAGCATAGGACCTAAGCACCCAGCACCCCATGTACAAGGCCAGGAGTGGTGACACACGCCTATAAGCTCAGCACTGAGGAAGTAGACACAGGTGGGTTTCACTGGCCAGTCAGCCTAGCATGATCAGCAAGCTCCAGGCCAGTGGCTCTCGACCCCTTTGGGGTTGCACATCAGATATTTATGTTACAATTCAAAACAGTAGCAACATTACAGTCAAGAAGTAGCAACAAATAGATGGAACTAGAAGAAACCATCCTGAGTGAGGTAACCCAGACACAAAAAGACAAACATGTATGTACTCACTCATATATGAATTTTAGACATAGAGCAAAGGATTACCAGCCTACAATCCTCATCACCAAAGGAACTAGGAAACAAGAAGGACTCTTAAGAGAAAAATGCACGGACCCGGGAGAATGGGAAGGAGCAGGATCTCCTGAGTTAATTGGTAGCCTGAGGGTAACAGAGAGGGAGCTGCCAGAATGAGAGGAGAAGAGGAGAGGAGAGGAGGAAATGGAGGAGCAGAAAGGTTGAGTAGGGGAAGAATAGAGGAGAGCAGGATGAGAGATACCATAACAGAGGGAGCCATTATAGGTCTGAGGAGAGATCTGGCACTAGGGAGATCTCCAGAGATCTACAAGGATGACACCAATTGACAATCTAGGTAATGGTGGAGAGGCTACCCTAAATGCCCTTCCCCTATAATGAGACTGATGACTACTTTTTATGCCATCCTAGAGCCCTCATCCAGTGGCTGATGGAAGCAGAGGCAGACACCCACAGCTATACACTGAACTGAACTCTGGAACCCAGTTGCAGAGAGGGAGGAGTGAAGAACAAAGGGGCCGGGACCAGGCTGGTGAAACCCACAGAAACAGCTGGCTTGAACAAGGGGGAGCACATGGACCCCAGACTGCTGCCTGGGAGGCCAGCAAGTTCTTGTTTCTAATTTGAACTAATAAAAAAAAAGAAGTAGCAACAAAAATAATTTTATGGTTGGGAGTCACCACAACATGAGGAACTGTATCAAGAGGTTACAGCTGTAGGAAGGTTGACAGCCACCGCTCTAGGCCAATGAGAGACCCTATCTCAAAAAACCAAGGTGACAGCAGTTGAAGAACAATGCTCAAGGATGACTTCTGACCCATACACATGTACACACATATGCATGCATACCTACACATGTACCTGCACACACACACAGAACTTCAGAGACTAGCCATGGAATATGCATTTTTGAATATACCAGGTGGGAAGGAGTCAAAAGCTATAGTAGCGATAACACCAGCTTAGACCTCAGCTCTCTGCAAGTCACTTAACAGCTCGGTCTAGTTCCTCCCTCTATAAAGTGGTGTCTGAACAATCCCTGCATGAGGGCCATGAAAAGACTATTTTTTTTAAATTTGTTTTTTCTTTTCTTTTTAAAGATTTTATTATTTATTATGTATACAGCATTCTGCTTCCATGTAGATCTGCAGGCCAGAAGAGAGCACCAGATCTCATTACGGATGGTTGTGAGCCACCATGTGGTGGCTCACAATTGAACTCAGTGCTCTTAACCTCTAAGCCATCTCTCCAGCCCAACTCTATTTTTTTTAGTAATTTATTTTTATTTTACATGAATTGGTGTTTTGCCTTCTGTTTGAGGGTTGGATTTCTTGGAACTGGAGTCATGGACAGCTGGGAGCCACCATGTGGGTGCTGAAAATTGAACTCAGGACCTCTGGAAGAGCAGTCAGTGCTCTTAACTGCTGAGCCATCTCTCCAGCTCCCTGCCCCGTGAAGCCTCTAAACAAATAGTAACAACAAATGCTAACAAGAAAGAAATACAGGCTATCACTGCCGTCACACGGCCCCTGATCACAAAGATAAAGTTTTAGTTTTCTCAGGAGAGTTGGCCTGGTAGACTTCAGTTTAGAAAGTCTAGTTTAGGAACTTCCAATCTGCAATGTAGCATGGATGCCACAGTGGCAGAGGGGGTACTGTGTCAAAAATACACTCGTTTATGAGGCTGGGCTTCTCTATGAGCAGTAAATGACGTCATAGATACAGCACAGCACAGCAATCTAATTAGGTGACAGAATGAGGAACTAGGAATCGAGATGTGGATCACTCTGTGTTGACCAGGGTGCTTTTCACATAGCCAGGCCCTCACTGAGCCTCAGTGTGGAGATCACACTGTTTCCTGACTCTTACCTCTCAGCTGCTGGAGCTCCAGGGTCAGACTCTGAATGCTGCTCTCATAGAACTTGAGATTTTCCAGCATCTCTGCCCTCAACGATTCATCCTGCTTTTCCTCCAACATCAAGGTCAGCTCTTCCTGAGCCCTGGTGTACATGTCCAAGTCATTTTCCACATCCTGAATCCTCACCAGCACAGAGGGGCACAGAGACTGAGACATCTGGGCTGGGCTCTGATCCGCAGGCTCAGGGCACTCCTTCTCTGGGGCCTCCCAACTAGGAAGGGTACAGGAGGTGGGCTTGGGAGAGGCTGTGTTCGTCTTCTGTTGCGTAGAGGGAGGCAGGGGAGCTGGGCGGGAGGGCCGCACTGCCAAGGGGGGTGCAGGTTTGAGGCTCTGGTCAACCAAGTGGGGAGAAATGGATGTTGGGGTACAGGGTCTGGGTGGTGGTGGCCTCAGGGCCTTTCTCCTCTCGGGGAGCTCCTGTGAGGGAACTGACTTCGAGGAGCCTCTGACAATATCCTTCTCAGAGTTAAAATCCATGATTGAAAAGCGGCGTACAATTTTATCTGGCTCTGTGCCAGGCCCTGACAGGCTCTTCTCAAACTCTATCAGCTGTTGGGTCAACTTGGAATCCAGGTCGATGCTGTCCCCCTGTGGCGCCGTGGTTACCTCTGTGGGGGGCCCCTTGTCTGGGGGCCCAGGCTGCCTCTCTGATCTCTCTGGTGCAGAATAGAGGCTAGAGGCATTTTCTGCAGATGTTTGGTGCTTCTGACCACAATTGGCCACAGCTGGAGGGCGAAAGTAGCTAGGTTTGGCTATCCTTGAGGTTGTGAGGGAGGAGGCCCTGTGAAGTGGATGTGCTGGCTTCTGGAGGGACCTACACTGGGCATATGTTGTTTTGGGAGGCAGACTGGAGTAGTCGCGAGTCCTGGCTTCTAGAGGGACAAAGTCCAAGAATGGGTCTAAGCTTTGGTGGCTCCCTCCTGGTGTTGAAGAAAACTGACCTTTCTGCACTTGGGGATGAAAGGGTACCCAAGGCTGGGAAGAAATGCAATCGACTATCTCTGAGGGGTCAGCTGTGGAAGGGTCTTTAACAAGACCCACACCTGGGGAGCTTCCTGAGTCATCTTCACCCTGACCAGAGTTCTCACTCAGAACACACTCAGGGACATCGTGATCTAGGGGAACGGGGGTTTGTTCAGGCAGAGCCCAGTCGGGCTTTTCTGCTTCACACTCCTGTGGTCCGAGTGTTGCTTCCTCCACCACTGAGTTCTCCAATCCATCCACTGAGCTTTCAGAGTTCTCAGGGAGACTGTCTTCCTGGGGCAGAAGCACGGTTTCCTCCGTCCTGGTGCTAGGACATAACTTCACGAAGCGATAGGGAAAGATACCTGTCTTGCCCTTCAAACGTCCTTCCAGCCAGCCATCCTCCAAGGTCCCCAGAATTTGGATTTTATCCCCTACGTCAAAATCCAACTCATTGGGCTCCAGGGCTTGGAATCTGTAGAGGGCAAGCCCATAGGTCCCTGTCGGGTGCTCGTCCTCATCAGCCCCACTTTCTGTCTCTTCTGTCAAGACGTCTACTTCCCCATTAGCAATGCAGTCATCTCCACTTCTGGAATTTACCGACTTATCCACAGTCCGCAGGGGCCCCAAAAGCTCTACGAAACCTTCTGGGAAAATGCCTCTCCGACCATCTAACTCTCCTTCAAACCAGCCAGGCTCAGGAACTCCGATAATGGTTATCATGTCTCCTTCCCTGAAGTCCAGTTCCTCATCCAGCTGGGCAGACAGTCCCATGAGGGCCCGTGCTTGTCCCATGGAGTATTCTGGAGTCTGAAGCAATGCACTCTGTGAGTGCCACTGTTGGCTTTGAGAGGTGAGACAGAACTCACGAACACAAGAAGAGGGGAAGAAGCCCCGGGCACCCCAGCAGCTTCGGCCCTGCAGCCATCCTGCGGTAGGAGAGCCATCGAGAACCACCAGGTCTCCTGAAGGAAGAAGCAAAAGTCAGAACCTTGGCCAAAACCCCAGGCCTAACCCGACAGCCAACAGTACCTTTTTGTGGCTGTTGAGACAGGACTGTACTGTGCAGCCCAGGCTGTGCCACAGCTCCCATGCCACAGCCTCCCGAGTGCTGGGCTTGTGTGTATATTTGTGAAGATTCTCTCCTTCTACCTCGTGGGGCCTGAAGATAGAGCTCAGGTTGCTGGGTTTGGCAGCAAGTACCTTCACCTGCTGAGCCATCTCGATGGCCCTATAATAAGATCGTTAAAAAATTCCAGTGACCTGCTCTTTTGTTATTGCAAATAACCAGTACTTCAGATTATTGTCACAAAATATAAACCAAAAAGTTACATTTGTCTTAGTGTTTAGATTCACCACAGTTTTAAAAACACATTCCATAGTTGTATAACCAATTGCTTTATAACAAACGGCTGATTATGTAATTATGTATATTCATCTTGTGGATTACCAACTTTAATCTTACTTTTAGCTTTCCCCCTGGTCAGTGCATGGGTTCACTCTCCAGGGCAGAGCTGCTTGAGGGACACAGAACGGTGGCAAACAGTAAGAAGGAGGGGACAGCAGAGCATGGTTCCTAGTCAAAGATGTTGGGGAGGCTATCTGCTATGTTCTTGACTTATTACTTTTAATGTGTATGTATCTTGTTTGCCTCTTGACTTATTACTTTTAATGTGTATGTATCGTGTTTGCCTGCGTATGTCTGTGCATCAGGGAGATGCAGTGCCTGAGAAGGACAGAAGAGGGAGTCAGATCCCTCAGAACTAGAATTATAGGTAGTTGTGAGTCACTATGTAGGTGCTAGGAACAGAACCCAGGTCCTCTGCAAGAGCAGTCAGCACTCTTAACTTCTCAGCCATCTCTCAGCCTTGTTCCTGATTTTTCTTTTTCTTTCTTTTCTTTTTTCTTTTTTTTCTTTTTCTAAGACAGAGTTTCTCTCTGTGTAATGGTCCTGGCTGTCCTGGAATTCACACTGTAGACCAGGTTGGCCTCAAACTCACTGAGATCCACCTACCTGCCCTCTGCCTCCCAGCGCTGGGGTTAAAGGTGTGAGCCATCTGTGTCCAGTGCTTGGTTCCTGATTTTTAAAAAGATTGTGTGCCCTACCTTCCCAAGTGCATGTAAGTGATCTGGTGATGGGCACACTTCTCTTTGTATGGTAAGAATCTGAGATGTTGCCTTTTGCACAGTGAACATTCAGTATCCATTTGTTAATAATGATTATTCTTTATTCTTCAGCCTCAGCTCCCAAATTCATATTCTCCTGCATCTAAAATTGGTTCCCATTGCTAACTTTCTTGTTCTTTCTAATTTCTTCTTTCAAAACATTTCTTCCATTTTATCAATTCTCTTTGCTAATATCCTAGCCTAGTTTAATTCCCACTGTCTTCCCTTTTAAATATTACCTCAAACATTATTTCTTTTAGCCCATCAAATGATTATAAATGTGCCAATTTTACTGTATCCTTTTGCTTAAACTTTAGTCACAAGACATGACGGCCTACTGCTCATCAATTTCTTTCCTCATAATTCTTCTTTGCTTTCTGAGACAGGGTCTCACCGCAGAGCACAGGCTGGACTGAAACTTGTTCCAATTCTCCTGCCTCAGACTCCCATGTGCTGGGAACAATCCTAGTCTTATTGTCTGGATTCAATAAAACATGTTTGTTCTGCACGCACTCTGAAGAGTCTCTACTGAGACACCAATGGGCCATTCTGTTTTCACCCCCTTCAAGCTTGTGCTTGGGTTTTATTTAGTCACAACCCCTCTGTTCTCCAACCATTCATCATTTTATCTTGCTTATGACATGAGATGCTTGGAAATCTCACACAAGAGGATTTTTCCTTTGTGTGCTTTTGAGACAGGGTCTCACAATGTATCCAGTCTGGCTTCAACCTTGCAACCCTCCAGCCTCAGCCTTCTAAGATTAAGAGCATGTACCATCACATACTGCTGAACTCAAAATCTCTACTATTGCTACTCTCTCTCCATCTAAAACCTTAGCAGGCTTCCTTAAAAACATCTTAGGAGCTCACATTACCTTGGTCATCTGTGGTCTACCAAAGAACCCACTTCTCTCTTTGGTCCTGGCATTTGGATGTTAGCATAGGGCCTGGCACATAACATAACATTTTAGACTTGATGGCAGACACCCCGTATATTTCCTGACTTTTATTGTCCTTAGACTTATTTAGAGACAACAAAAAATAGTGTCTTGCTCCCATATTCCTGTAGTCCTTAATTTTTGAACCCACATGCACTGACCAAAGCTTTGGGTCCTGAGAATTACAAGTGTCCCCCCTCCCACAGTGACCCTAAGGCCTGCCATCCAGGCCACAAAGGGAAGTCACTGGTGACATGACTGCTCAGACACAATGGGTCTCTTGGTGAATAGGAAAATCAAAGCATGCCATAACTCCCACTTTGCTGGCTCTGAAATGCCAGGCTCACTTCAAGCTGTAGAATGCCAGTGTTCTCTGTCTGGCCAGAGCTCCATGAACTTGGACAATAGGGCTTGTTTTCCTGTCTATTTCAACAGTGGTTTTGATGAGCTTTGTTTCCGGGCAGACCGTAACTGGGCTGCTTATTCACAGATGATAAAGGAGGATTCTCAAAACAAAATAAGATGACTCCCATCTCACACCAACACACACAATTTAGATGGTACTTTTCTTTAGTTCAACACCCCCCACCTTACGTTTTTGATTTTGTCCTTTGTTTTTCCTCTTACTTGGTGACTACCTTTATTTTATAGGACTAATTGCTCCTGGGGTGGGTTTGTTGTTGTTGTTTTGATTTCTCTAGTTTTTGTTCTCAAAATTCTCCTGTTTTAATTAGTCCAGCAAGTTATTTCCCCGGAGTCCTGGGTAATTCTTTAGGAATGAGGGTATCTGGTGGTTCTAGACTTCAGAAACACTAATATAAAGATTTCCTGAGTTAGTGGGACTAGGTTTGGGAACAGGAAAGTAGAAATTGTGGTGACCCTCAGGGTCAAATGTGACTACTCCCAGCCATACTGTCTGTTTCTTTGGTTGGGTTTTTCCTTTGAACAGGAAGTGGATTGGAAGTAAGATTATAGAAAGGAATGTGGGTCTTGTTAGACTCCGATACAAGCAGTCTGTTTCTGCAGGGTCAGCTTCCTCCTTGACTCCACTCATGGCACTAGCTGCCCAGGGCACTGTGTGCTGTGTGGAGACCACAAATTTTCTTTATCCTAACACTTCACCTCATGGCATTAAAATTTAAGGTTGTTGCACTTCAACTAATAAAAGTCAGTCAGCAACTTATTTATACATTATAAGTTTATTTTATTGGCCCTTTGAGAGGAGGTTGACTAGAAGTGCAAGATGTAGACAGCCATAAGCATTGTGTGCTATATGAGGAAATGATGGGTGGCACCCCATAAAATACAGTATTGTCTTGTTCTCAATCTCCTGATCTTTTTGTCTTTCCCTTGACATGTTCTTTTCCTGTCTTCCTTCCTTCCTTCCTTCCTTCCTTCCTTCCTTCCTTCCTTCCTTCCTTTCTATTTCTTTTCCTTTTTTTCTTCACTTTTTGTTTTCTATTTTTTTCCTTTTTTCTGGACAGTTGGTGACTCTAACCACTCATAATGACTCTTCTAGAAGAGAGTTCTGTTTCTGAACCCAAAACATAAAGAACAGTCCAAAACAATTGAGTGGCTTCAGGAAGGGGGGAAGGGTGACACCTGCTGGAAGAATTACTGATGACTCCAACCCCAGGCAGACTATCTGGGGAAACATCCCATACATGCCAACTTCAGGGAATGATGTTACAAATGGCCCTCAGGAGCCTCTGCCTGGCTTACACTATAACCTCATTGGTCTTAACAGCTATCTGGAGGTAGGTGTTGTCATCTTCAGCCTTTATGTAAGGCTAGCAAAGAGCTAGCCCAACATCAGCTACTATGTGGCAAAGATGGATTTAAATCTAGGGTCATTAGAATTCCTGACCTCTAAATCATATTACCTGCTTTTAACATACTAGTCATAACACAAACACAAATTACTCACACACACACACAGTTTTTCTCTTTAGGCTATTTTATGTATTTTTGTTTTGTGTATATGAGTGTATTGTTTGCATGGATGTCTGTACACCATATGTTTGCAGTCCCAAAGAGGCCAGAGGGAGTGTTAGAACCTCTAGAATTGGAGTGACAGATGGTTTTGAGCCTCCACGTAGGTGCTGAGACTTGAACCTGGGTCCTCTGGAAAAGCAGAGTGCTCCTGACTACTGAACCACCTCTCCAGATGCTCTTATTAATCTTATGCTACTTAAGAGTAATTTAATAACAAATATAAAGACAGTATGATAAAACACAGCAAGGCTCTCATGTAGCCGAGGCTGGCAGTGTGGCACAGATACTAAATTTTGGGTTGTTCTGCCTCTGCCTCCTGGATGCTGGGGTTATAGGCATGCACCACCACATAGATTGATTTAGTGCAAGATTGGACCCAGGGCTTTGTGTATATTAGCCAAGCACTCTACCAACTGAACTACACTCAGCACCCCAATACTCCTGGAAGGACCAGAGTTCAGTTCCCAGCACCCACATAGAGTGACTCACAACCTCCATCACCTCCTTACCCAGGAACCGATGTCCTCTTGACTTTCACAGGCACCTGTACACATGTGACATGCCCTCAGTCGCATACACACAAATGACAACAAACAAAGCCCTGCTGACTGGAGCTCAGCCTGACCCTGCTTACTCACTCTTGTTTCAGGTGACTCGTGGCTAAAAGGTCTGTGCCTGGATCTTCCAGAGAACCTCCCAGAAGGCCCTGGGTTCCTCAGACATATTTTAATTTCAGAGCCAGCTCAGAACACATCAGATGAGTCTTCTCAGTGCTGACTTCAGCAGAAAATCTTACTCTTTTAAAAAATTTTTGAATTCTAAGACTTGACCATACAACATATAATGTTGAAACAAAACTAATTCTAGCAGATATTTCCTCAAATTCTTCATAATATTGAACACACAGCTTATTTATACCCAATACATGCTTCTACCGGTTGTTTTCAGCAGGAGCCAGGATTAGGAAAGAAAAAGCCCTCACTAAAGCTGGAGGTGTGACTCGGTGGTAGAGTGGTTGTCTTGCTGCCTAGTGTGCAATGGCCAGGTTTCAACCTCCAACACCAAATCAAACAAACGAACATGCAATCAAGCAGGCCATGCTGCTCATATCCTGTGCATGGCTCACAGAGACACCACCAGACTCTTGTCCTTCTCTTCCTACCCAGGGAGGCCTGCTCTGGACTCCCGACCACCCTGGGATAGCTACGAGTGAGGACAAAGATCCCACTATAAGCTCACTGTCTCGTTCACACTGTTTTCAGTGTGATTAGCAAGAAGGCTACAGAGGGAGGGGCAAAGACTGGATACAGGCTCACATGCAAGCAACTCCCAAGACATCAAAAAATTCAATATTCTTTTCCTCTCATTGATTAGGGGCTAGAGAAGTTTGCTAGGCCTCACGAGCACATTCCATTTAAGAATGTGTGTGTGTGTGTGTGTGTGTGTGTGTGTGTGTGTGTGTGTGTAAGAATTAAGCTGTCCTTCAGCATCATACTAAAAGAACAGTTACAATATAAACACACAGTTTGTAAGTTCTTCTATTTTGATATGTTGACTGGGACATCACAAAACTGGGTGGGTCACAAGCCTTAGGCTATAGCACTACTGGTCTCTGTTTATGTAGACAGGCATGGACGTAACCAAGTGGACACGTGGAAATGGTTTCCTGTCCGTCTTTGGACGTCGGTGCCTGTTAGAGTACAATGGTGAGAAATACTTGAAGCATCCTGGGGATGTGGCTAGCACCATCTGTTTAAACTGTTCCCTTTTCAGCTGGTTCTCACAAGAACTTTTACACTACCCAATGGAAGCACAGTCATGGGGAAGCCTTGCATGTAGCTCTTATTGGTCACATCAAAATTACTGTTTCCCTGTGGTATATTAGTAAGCAGTGACGCTGTCAGCAAACCACACAAGGCAGTATTTCTGGGGAAGAGACTAACACTGGAATGTCCAGAGCATGGGGCAGTGATAGACAACACTGGGCCGAGGATACGCTGACGAGTCGCTATCCTGAGCCCATACTTCTTACATGTCGTGAGTTGCCTTTGAGTAATGGACAGTTACTAATATTCCCAATTCGGAAGCTTCCATGAGAATACTTTTGTAGGGCTGCAGAGACGGCTCAGCAGTTAAGAACATGTCCTACTAGTACAGAGGATGGGTTCCCAGCACCCACATCAGGCAGCTCACGGCCACCTGGAAGTCCATCCCTATGCTCTCTTCTTACTGCCCAGGTACCTGCACTCATGTTACATATTCATAGGCCCCTCACACACACATGATTAAAGATAAAAACAGATTGACATGGTGGCGCACGCCTTTAATACCAGCACTGAGGCAGAAGCAGGTAAATCTCTGTGAGTTTAAAGCCAGCCTGGTCTACATATGAAGTTCCAAGCCAGCCAGGGATATATAGTAAGACCCTGTCTCAAAAATATAAAAATAAAATCTAAACAATAAGAGAATACCTTTCTGGGGAAATCCTATGAAAATTATCAAGCCCCACTGGCAAAAGGCTGTACTCTCTCCCGCATTGTATCAGTGCTGCAGACTTGCAGTGAACACATCTTTAAAAGACCCTGTTCTCAAGACTCTGCCGACCTCTGATGCTCTATTACCTCGATGGAGAGAAAGACTGTTCATCTCCTGTGATGTGAATTCGCAGGTGCAAACAAACAGACTCTCTCCCTCTTTCAGGCAGGGGACTGTCACAACCTCCACAAAACTGCTGGGAAACTGTCCTGAAAAACAGAAGCACACATGTTAAACACAGAGCAGTCTCTTAAGATCAAATTTTCTTTCTCTGTCTGTGTCCCAGGACAACTCTCTTTCTCAGTCCATTCACAAGTATGGATTGAAAATTGTCCTATGCTAATAATTAGAGAACTTACAATGCTAAAGTACACATCACAGAATTAGATGTATGAAAGGACACAGATGCAACTCAAAAGCGTTTATTGGGCCAGGGAGATGGCTCAGCGGATAAAAGCATGTGCTTCCATGCCTGACAAGTTGAGTTAAACTCCCAGGTCCCCATGGTATAAGGAGAGGTCCTTATGAGGTCCTATGCTCTCCACATGTGCACACACACACACACACACACACACACACGTACACACACACATATGCACACATACATGCACACATATAGACACACACACACAAGCACATACACACACAAGCACACACATACACATACATGCACATACAAGCACACACACACATACTAGCACCCACATGCACACACAAACACATACACATGGGCACGAGCGCGCGCGCGCGCACACACACACACACACACACACACACACACAGAGACACATACAAGCACACACATACACAAGCACACAGTACCTAAATAAGCATTAACCACTGCACTCTGGCACTCTAGCAGTTCACTGAAGAGGGAAATGTGAGTTGGGTGGTTTTGATCTTCAAAGATCTGAAAATCTACTTAGATAAAATGGATAATGGGGCCCTGAAACCCACACACATAGTCATAGAGATTCAGAGGGGGCTGAGGATGGGTCAAGAGGAACACAAGGTTTGTATGAAGCAGAGCAGTTCAGTCTGAAGATGGGTAGAGTTTTATAGGTGGTGTAGGAAGACAGGGCCTGCCAGACAGAGGAAAAGAACAAGAGATATGTCCTGAATTCGCTCAGGTATCCCCAGACCCAACACCTTGGTATGAGCCATCATCACCTGCCTTCCGCGTGACAGTAAATCTCCTAGAACTCACTCGTAGACCAGGCTGGCCTCAAACTCAAAGAGATCCATCTGCCTCAGTGATCCACCTGCCTCTGTCTCCTCAGTGATGGGATTAAACACCTGTGCCATTGTGCCTGGCCTATAAGTCTTTTTTTTTAAATGTATTATTGCTTTATTTTATGTGTATGTGTGTTTTATCTACTTGTTTATCTATATACCATATGCAGTCCAGAAGGCATTAGCTCCTCTGAAACTCCAGTTAGATTGTTGTGAGTTGCCATGTAGATGCTGGGAACCCAGGTCCTCTGGAAGGGAAGACAGCACTCTTAACCACTCAGCTACCTCTCCAGTCCCTGGCCCCTTATTCTTAAAATAAGAGCAGCGGCATTTCTAAGACACAGATCTGGTGATGTTGAAAGCACCAGTTTCTGGCCTCCTCAACTTCTTACCTTGCACACCTTGGACCTCTGGACCCCTCAACCAGTTGGTGACCTACTGATATTACCTCAGTGCTCCCATGTTCACTTCTATGTCAGGGCCACTGAGCAAGCAATTCTCTCTGCCTTGCTAACACCTACTCGCTGGTTTTATGTGAATAGAAGTATCACTTCTATTAGAAAATAATCTGTGTATTCCCCCAAAGTTGGTAGGTACTCACAGCACCTACTCTCAGAACTACATCACATACTCCAAGCCAGATGCACACAAACATGTGTAAATTAAGGACTAAATAAGTATAACTGTGTGACGTGTGACAGAAGGGTTTGCCCTTCTTTAGGGTAGCTAATGGAAGAAATCCATGTTCATATGAATCTCAGAAATAGAAGAAAGACAGCCAGGTGTACAAGCGTGGGAGACAGGAGCGTCCACAATAGAGGGTGACATTAATTAATTGTTGTCAGTGCCGTCCTAGGAGGGACTGAGGAGGATAAATCAGTCTCCCCTGAAAAGGACGGACATGGAGAGGGAGAAAGCCAGAGGAATGAGGTGGATCGTACTTACCCGAGGCAAGCTGCCTGTGAAGAGCAATGACAAATACCAGGAGTTCCCAACAGAGGCATAATGCACAATTTGAGAAAGGGAATAATAATGGAAGACAGAGCATTGGGAAGGGAGAGAAAACAGACAGAAAACTAGGCTGGCACAGCAGGTGTCTACCCACCCAGCCCCTACAAGGAATCCATACAGTGAGATGGGCAATGGCAGAAACTCTCCTCCCAGGCCAGAGACATGGTAAAAGTGAAATTACTCACTTGGGCTTCCCATTTGACTTTTATTTTTCATATGCAAAGAAGAGGGTGGCTGTGTGTGGAGGAAGAACCTCTTACCTGTAACATCTTCCTTCTTTCCGAGAAGCCAAAATTCATCCACCACAGCCAACACCTCAATAACGTCTCCCACGAAGAGTGGCAGCTCCTCTGAGACGCTAGGACAGAAGTCAAAGATGGCTCGGACCACAGAGCCAGCCTCCATGCTTCACAACCTGCAAATCCCACAGCATGAGAAAACAGATACTTAGGGCAGACTATAAACCTGTTTCTTGAAAACCTAACACTTAAAATAGGAAGCTAATAAAAATGTATCAGAAGATATATAAAATATAAAAATGTAAAGGTTTTTTTTAATATTTTATTTATTTATTATGTATACAGTCTTCTGCCTGCATGCCAGCAGAGAGCACCAGATCTCATTCAAGGTGGTTGTGAACCACCATGTGGTTGCTGGGAATTGAACTCAGGACCTCTGAAAACAGTCAGTGTTCTTAACTGCTAAGCCATCTCTCCAGACCATAAAGCTGTTTCTTTAAAAATAGCAATTTATGCCAGGCAGTGGTGGCACACAATTTTAATCCCAGCACTTGGGAGGCAGAGAAAGGCAGATCTCTGTGAGTTCGAGTCTACAAGAGCAAGTTCCAGGACAGCCTCCAAAGCCACAGAGAAACCCTGTCTCCAAAAAAAAAAAAAAAAAAAACAAAAAAAAAAAAAAAAAAAAAAAAAAAAAAAAAGAAAGGAAGGAAGGAAGAAAGAAAGAAAAGAAAATCCAAAGACTTTACATTACAGCATTCCATCCATTTCCCATGACAATCATAAGACCAGGATGGTGACAGTCTGTAAGTCTAGATACTCTAATTTGTCCAAGGACACAGAATGGAAGGGTCAGAACTCACACACCAAGATTTAAAACCCACAGAAAAACGGAAGTCCATGGAAAGAACTAGAAAGGGCCAGAGACGGTGTCTCCAGGGGATGTTTAGTACCAGCAAATCAAACATTTGTTTCTGGTTTGAAGATGCCTGTGGCCCAGCCTGCACTGTCACAACGCATGATGGGCCCATCACCCTGGTGTGTCAGGCTGGCATGCTAAGGGTGTGTCTACACACTAGAAAAAGCACATGTTCACTTGGGAATTCTCAGCCATGATCGGACCAATCCTCTCCAAATGCCTTCCCAGGGGCTGCACAGGGGCAGCTCAAGTTCTCCAGGCTGGCCAGGGCCCAGTGTTTCTTTCTTCTCAAAGATTCATTCAGTGTTGTTGGAGGTGGAAAGATTTTTTTCCATCTCACACATGTCTAACCTCATCAAAAAGCACCAAGACAGGCCAGTGAGAAGGCTCAGCTGATAAAGGTGTCTCCAAACCCGGCAACCAGAGTTTGACTCCCAGGACCTATGGCAGGGAAGAGAACCAGGGGCTTGAGCGATAGCCAAGCAGTTAAGAGTGCTTACCGCTCTTCTAGGGGGCATGCCTTTGATTCCCAGTGTCCATGTCAGGTGACTCACATCTGCCTATGATTCTAGCTCATGGGAATCCAAAGCCCTCTTCTGGCCTCTGGGGGCACCCACATGGTGTGGAATAATGTTCACTGTAAAGATTTGTCACTCGGATAGGTTTAATGAAACACTGATTGGCCAGTAGCCAGGCAGGAAGTACAGGCAGGGCTACCATACTGGGAGAATTCTGGGAAGAGGAAGGCAGAGATGCAGTCATCAGCCAGACGCAGAAGAAGCAAGATGAGAATGCCTTATGGAGAAAGGTACCAAGCCAGAGATAAGAATTATGGGTTACTTTAAGTTGTAAGAGCTAGTTAGTAATAAGACTGAGCAATAGGCCAAACAGTTTATAATTAACATAAGCCTCTGTGTGTTTGTTTGGGACAGAATGGCTGCAGGACCCGGTGGGACAGAAACTTCCATCAACACACACACCCACACACACACACACACACACAAACACACAC